AGTAGTAGTAAAAGTAGTAGTAGTAGTAGTAGTAGTAGTAGTAGTAGTAGTAGTAGTAGTAGTAGTAGTAGTAGTAGTAGTAGTAGTAGTCGTAGAGTAGTAGTAGTAGTAGTAGTAGTAGTAGTAGTAGTATCGTAGTAGTAGTAGTAGTAGTAGTAGTAGTAGTAGTAGTAGTAGTAGTAGTCGTAGTAGTCGTAGTAGTAGTAGTGGTGGTAGTAGTGGTAGTAGTCGCAGTCGTAGTAGTAGTAGTAGTAGTAGTAGTAGTAGTAGTAGTAGTAGTAGTAGTAGTAGTAGTAGTAGTAGTAGTAGTAGTAGTAGTAGTAGTCGTCACCATCATGTATTATATAATGTATGCGGCGACAGTATCGGTCCCCATTGGAGATTTGAGGGAAAAGTCAGTTCGCACGTCACCTTCGTGTCGCTTGCACCACACGTCACCTTCGTGTACTATTCATTCGTAAGCACGCACATTAGGGCCTTCTGAAGAAATACAGAAGAAAGGGCAGTTTCACGCGTCACCTTCGTGTCGCAGCATTTAGAGCATAGTCCCAATATCAATGCAAGGGGTTCTTGGGGTAACTTTTCCTATTGTCCATTCAGACGGCCGCAACTCTGGCCGACGCCCTTACGGCACCCCCAGGATCCTTAGGAATTAAATTGGCAATGGCCGAGTCCCAGCCTCCAGCAGAAGTTCTTCATATTTTCATTGGCTTTGGGATGGGGATTCACATGGAAACTGTCGAGTCCAAGCCTCCAGCAGAATTCCGTCATCATGTTATTTGGTTTTGATTAGGGATCCAAGAGGAAATTGTCGAGCCTCAGCCTCCAGAAGAATTTTGGAATCATTCTTTAGTTCTTGAATGGGGGTTCAGCAGGAAATGGCCGACAGCCTCCAGCAGAATTCCGAAATCATATGTTGTTTTTTTTTGAAATGGGTATTGAATTGGAAATGGTCGAGCCCCAGCCTCTAGCAGAATTCCTTATGAATTCATGTTGTTGGAATGGGAAAGCAAT